ATATATATATATATATATATATATATATATATATATATATATATATATATATATATATATATATATATATATATAAAGTCTGTTTGGCAGAAAAGGGTAGTAGAAAGTAATTGATGAATATATGTTAGGTTTAATATTTAGTTACATTTGATGTAATAGTTGAATGTAGTATAAATTATAATATTATGTGTATTTAATGTGGAATTGTGTTGTTATATGCAGTAATATAAAGTTCTGCTTGTGATTTTTCTAATATGGACTATATACAGTGTGAGGATATATCACATACAGACAGCACTCATAAAGACAAGTCACCAAATGTCTGGCACATCATCCTGTCATTTATTACATCAAATTGTTGATTTATGAGTGTCCCTAGAAAGGGCTGACACATCCCTTTGTCATCGCCAAACCTTTGCACTTGAATGTGAAAATGGAATGACCCGAGTGAGTGATCGTAGTGTAACACATTAAGTATGAGGAAATGGGGCACGAGTCGACAGTCCCAAAATGGGCGTGTGCCCTGATGTCCAGACCTAGCAGACAGGCTGTGCCCATCCATACAAATTTCAGAGGGAGAGGGCCAGCGAGAGCTGATTGCAATGTAAGCGTCTGGTGCTGTCAGCAGCTTTAAATCACACAGGCACTCCACAACAAAAAACACAGAGAGCTATTGTGCTCCCGTACAATAATGGTCAATTTATACACTGGAGTCTGCTTTCGATTTGTAAACACTTATTAAAACGGGTATCTTTGGTGATATTGGAAAAAATAGAGAACCTCTATGAGAATTGCCATTGTTCTGTGTAATTTAACTCTGAAATTAAAGCTTATCCCTCTGGAGAATGCCAATGTTAGGAAGAGGTGGCCGAGGTTTACTTTAACAAGGCTGCTGATCGTTTCAATCTGACCTCAACGGTTTGTGTGGCACATTTTTACTGAGATCTGACGCAATGTAATACAGGCCTTGCAGAGAGTTTGTTGTTGAATGATAGGGCAGTTATAAACTGGAGCTGACAGCAAACCAAAGCACTGTTGCTCATGTCACATGCGTAGAGGGTGTTTACATACACATTTAATGAAGGGTGAAAGGACGGACTGAAAAGAGGTCTTTAAAAAAACGAAGTCATTTTTAAATGGCGATAATTAGAAGGGTTTTCGCCACTCTGTCATCTGATGGAGTTTGGGTTCCCCACTGTCGCCTTTGGCTTGGCCAGTTGGGGTTCAAAAGACACTTAATATTCAGTAATATTGTCGATTTGCCTGTACTGGCACTATCAAATGAGAACAAAACTGGAACTGAATTGAGCTGGATATTGACACTATTGTCTTCTGTCGAGCTGCCTTTGAAAGTTTTTCATAACTTATGAACAACTTAACAAGATGTCAAACTGAATTGAATCAACAAAATTGAACTGAATAATGACACTATTGTCCTCTGTAGAGCTACTTTGTCGCTGTATAGAATTTGATTTGAAATTGGACTGCAACATTAATACTTTCAGTGAACTGAATCAACACTGAGCTAACTTGAGCTATATAATGCTACTATATCTTCTGTAGAGCAGCTTTATAACTGAACTGGAATAGTTTCATAATTGATGAACTTTGCGACATTTACGCTGTTATTGAACTAAATTGAGCTGAATAATGGCACTGTTGCCATCTGTAGAGCTGCTTTACAGCCGAAGTCATTTCATTTCAGTTTTGTAACGCTGTTATTTTCCCGTTTATTTCTGTGACGCTCTTTTAAAACAATGTGTATTAAATAAAGCACCATAAATGCGACTTGACTTGTTTTGATTAGTCTTTTTCTAAGTGAACCCACTTACGGAGACACCTGAAGAGTCAGCTAATAATACTACTGCATTATGAGGTTAAGAGGAAAGCTTAGCTGACTTTACAGTGTTTAACAGAGCATCATGGTTAGGGCATTCTTTTTCTCATCTGCAAATTCATCTTTGTCGTGTTTGACCTGGACCTCCTTCCTGTCTCTGTGAGGAAATGCAACTGTTTTAAAGTAGTTTCACATATTTCTTAAAGAACTTTAAAGACAAAGCATCCTATACACACAAAACCACTGACACAAATCCCTTACAGTATGCTATTCACTTGTTTGAGGCCCAGGAAGCTGTGTCTAAAAGAAGAATCAAACAACGGGCCTTTTAAGATGGAAGCAAATAAAGATATTTTCTATAAAAGCGATCATCTAACTAATTTCTTAACTGCATGGAAAGTTACTGATAAATGTGCACATACTAAAACAGGTTTTACAAGTTTAATAACTTGATCCTGTTTATTTATAGGACACGTGAATAGGCAAGGTAAGTGATTAGAGGCATTAAAAGACATTATCCGTTTTTGCTTGAAAACTGGATAAATTCCTATCTTGAACTCTGTGAGACCTACTGGGTAACATGGCAGGATATTCAAACCTCATTCATTTTTATTATTATTATTATTTATTCCGATTGTTTCATTCACAACCTTACTTGTAATGATGTTGAAATGTTGAGTCTGCAAACTTTCATACGACTAAACGAATCCTTCATGAAATGATGCCCTTGACAGTGACAGCAAGGACGGCGCTCCCTTCTTTTCAGCACTCTGTAATATGTGAATAATCTTTGCAAAGCTTGTTCAGAAAAGGTTTGAATTCACATGAAATATGAGCATGTGGTGAAAGGAAAGCATTTTGGCCTATGAAAGATGTACTTTGTGTAAACATCGGAGCCAAACGAGAACTCTAAGCTCTCAAACCAGATAGATTTTAGAGCCACTTTGACCATCAGGTGAAATAATTATATAACACTGGATGAGGCTTTCAGCTTCTCTTCAGTTTATTTCTATTTTATACAAGTATTATTCATATAAATAAACATCAGGTAAAACATTTCAGGTTATACAAATGCAGTAACTATTCACACTTCCTAATTATTAAGTCTTCTCTTGCAATTTGAATGGTCTTGTAAAAGGAAAGATTCAGTTTGCTGTGTTCATCTCAGGTCTTTGGAAACGGGCCCTGGATTTGAGGACTATGGAACAAAAGAGGGACAAACAGCTTCATCTAGTGGCGGCTTCATGAGATTTTCTTTCACTGTTCATAGTTGAAATCATAACAGTTTGGATTTAACCATTCAGGAAAGTTTAGATTAATTATATGTAGCATAAGTATAATCCTTTGTCAGTGAGGATGAATATCAGAATGTGAATGTTGATTTGTGATTTTGTGGTTATCAAAAAGACAAATTGCTTGCTTTGAAAACTAAAAAGAGGCTAAATATATTTTATGAAATTTACAATTTTAGGATATAGGTTATATACTTATATTAGCTTCATATCCTTATGTAGCCTATAGTCATATCTTCCTATGGATGCAATGTAAAGTAAGTCTAATTTCTTCACATGGCCACTAGATGGGGATAAAAAGAAATAAAAGTCTCTCTGGTGACCATGCAGATTCATGAGCTAGTGCTCATGTTGATTATGATTACATACAGTGCGATTTGCCTTTCAATAGCCAAGCACATATTTGCAAACATTTGTGTGTCTTTTTTATTGCTGAAATGTGTTGAAATTTCTTCTTCTGCATTCTACTGTACGGCCGTAAATTTACTTTCCCTTCAGCCTGAGGCTTATTCATTTCACTTTTGGTGTAAAAAGGCTTTTATATTTGCCAAAAAATATAACTTTTTTATTTTAAAAACAAACAAGCAAGCCCTGTCTAGATTTAAAAAGTAACGCAAAAGTAACGTAACGCATTACTTTCAATAAAAAGTAACTAAGTAACGTAATTAGTTACTTTTTTATGGAGTAACGCAATATTGTAACGCATTACTTTTAAAAGTAACTTTCCCCAACACTGGCTATAAGTCAAGTATACTTAAATGTCATTTTAAGTATATTCTGAGAAGTATATAAAGCCCATTTAGCACACTAATAGCACACTTGAATAAACTTCTTTTTCGTAAGGGTACAGCAAGATTGAAAGGAAACATGGACATCAGTTAATATTTTGTTATTCAAATTTAATTGTTCAAAACTTTTTATATCACACATGATTTTACCCAATTCGATTTAAAAAGGTAAATGAACAGAAAACATTTTAATTAAAAATAGAAAACTAGTTGGAAAAGCATTGACCAAATATAAAACCTAGGCTAATAATAATAATAAAAAAAGATGGTGTGTGTTATTTAACATGCCTTAACAAAGTGTTTTTGTTTTTTTTTTTTAAATGATGCTTTGTAAATTCTTTCTATTTGTACATCAGTGATTTCACCACTGTAGCTCTGGTCTAGCTGTTTAAATTAATGGTGGTACAACTCACTCTGATCTTCTTTATCTCAAAGTTGGAGTCATTTTGAAGATGAGGCGTGATAGTGATCAGATTTACAATGAAGGATGAACCCAAGCTGTATCCAAGGACAAGAATCATTTTTAAATGATTTGTATCTTTTTTTATCTTGGCATAATAAGTAGCCAGCCAGCAACAACCCAGAAAACCATAGCAACATGCTAAAAACTACCTTAGCAACTGCACAGCAGTGCCATGGAAACCTCACACTATATGTATCATCAAGTTTACACTTACATTTGCTTCAAAACATATAGTTGAAATATTGAATTATAATCATTTATACTCAGACAAATATGAGCAGTGCACTGTTTTAGGAAATAGACAAATAGCTACATTTAGACTTCATCACTTTTCCTTAGGTTCTCAAATATCTTTCTCAGCAGTGGGCAAAAGCATCTGGGCGAGGAGAAGTAGGCAAACTTAAAATCGGGAAGTATGGTGCATTTTTAAACCCCATTCGAAATGGACATTTTTGTCTGAAATGTGTACACATGCTTTTTAATCTCTCTTCTAGAGCTGAAGGGAAGACGGCAGTAAGTTTTATTAATGTTTTTAAAGACATGCACTGTTTGCTTCTCATCTTCTTATTAAGATGTCAGTGCTGATTTGCATAATTACTATGATCTGACCCTGGGCTGTGGAGAGGGAACATGTGATGTGCTATTGCTTATGCAGACGCTGATTGATGGTTTCCTCAGGTTTCAATCTGAGCGAGGAGCTGTCAGTGGTGGAGTGCTCTGGGGAGAAGGTTTCGTCAGTGCGCTCCCCTCGAGAACATCCCTTCACCATACAGATGGTGGGTGGTCAGGCCCTTGCTGTCTTTACAGAGACTTCAGGTGAGTATAACAATGCTCTCTGACACTGTGAATAGTAACTGGTGTAAGGAACTGTGTCACCTTTCTGTCCAAGATCAACATAAATGGTTAAGTTAGTTCTTCATTGTTTATGTACAGTGAGCTGGTACATCAGCCAGTCCAAATAATTGGATGATATTTAGTTATTTTGAGATTATCGACATCAGCCAATAACTGTGCCTGCTTGGCTGATCAACAGAACTAACCATTCCATCTAGTGTTAGTCCCAAATCTAAAATGAGCCTTGCTAATGGATACTTTTAAAATATTGTTTATTGTGGAAAAACATTTTCACTTAACACATTTGCTCGCTTAATTTTTCCAGCAATATTACTGCTGTAATTAAGTTTATTGTATAAATTGGCGTTGTGCTGTCTCCTTGTTCTCTAGGTGTTGATACCAACACAGTATACCATTCAAAAGTTTATGAAAAAAATGTATTCTTTAATTCAGCAAGGACACATTCAATTGTTTAAAAGTGACAATAAAGCATTTTATTGTTCATTTTGGGCAGACAAATTGCTTTTTTCTGTAATCATTGTACATTGTATAAACTTGCGGTCATCAAGGGTCGCTCTCTTACCGTTGCAAAACAAAAGATATAGATTTTAACAGCCCCTGTGGACTGTTTGTTGTGGTTTCTTCCCTTTGTGTTGGTTTAGCCCGTTTAATCATTAGTTAATCACCGTCATTGTGCTCACCTGTCTGCCACTAATTATCTACCCTATATTAGTTCCTGTCTGTCTGAGCATTAGGGTCGGTTATTGTTAATGTTACCCCGAGTGTGTGGCTCACCTACCTGTACCTGCCTTGTTGTGTCTACAATAAATGTCAATATTGGAATCCTTGTCGTCCTCGTCGTCCTGCCTGCCTCCACACACCCGTTTCCGTGACAGAATAACCGACCCAAAAACAACCACATGGAGATCGCTGCTCGTTTCCTCGCCATATCCCGCCGGGATCTCCCCTCCTAGTATGCCGGGGAGTTCTGCAAGCTCGCAGCGGTGACGGCGTTAGAGGACGCCGTCCTTAATCAGCTGTTCTGGCTCGGGGCCAACTACCATCGCCCCATGGACCTCCCAGACACCACTGGACTAAGTTGGAGGGAAGGTGTCTTCCGGTGTCTGGGGAGTGTCCGGTCCTGCGCCAGAACCAGTCCGCCGCCGTCAGCGGCTCACTCAAGCCCGAAGGACGTTAATGTGGCAAGCCCAGAGCTCGCTCCAGTGTGCCCACCGGCCGCTGGCCTCTCAGCATTGCTGGACATGGCGCTGCCCCTGGAGTTCACTGCTCCTATCCTCACCCCAGTGTCGGTTCCATCCCCAGTGCCCACTCCTCATAAGCGCCTTCTCCTGTTCCCGAGTATAGCCCAGGGAGGGCTCCTGTTTCCCCGTTTAGCCCACGGAGGGCTCCTGCTTCCCCGTTAAGCCTCCCGAGCCCCCGGTTCCGCCATGGCCTCCCGAGTCTCCATCACCGCCTCGGGCTCCTCCACCACCTGGTCCACCGCCATTGGACGGTCCTCCTCCTAGTCCCCCTCCACCCCTCCCTCGGTTTCTACGGTGCGAGGACGCACCTCCCGGGAGGGGGGAGTAATGTAACGCCCCTGTGGACTGTTTGTTGTGGTTTCTTCCCTTTGTGTTGGTTTAGCCCATTTAATCATTAGTTAATCACCGTCATTGTGCTCAACTGTCTGCCACTAATTATCTATCCTATATTAGTTCCTGTCTGTCTGAGCATTAGGGTCGGTTATTGTTAATGTTACCCCGAGTGTGTGTCTCACCTACCTCTACCTGCCTTGTTGTGTCTACAATAAATGTCAATATTGGAATCCTTGTCGTCCTCGACATCGTCCTGCCTGCCTCCACACACCCGTTTCCGTGACAGCTTTACAGTGCAGCTTACATTCACAGCATAATAATTGCAGCCTTACTGAAAATCACACAAGCCTAAGTGTGGAATTGCAATCATTGTGTTGTGCACTTTTGTTCACTTATGATTTTTTTCCCCAGTTGTCTGCTTAGTGCTCACAAGCCCCAGGTATTGATTAAGTGTTGCTAAGCAACAGGTTGGCCACAGAAGTTGTCCATGAATAGAGGCTCTACTTGTTACAGTTAAAAGCTTTTTCTGGGGGTGGAAGGGTAACAGTGTCTTTTTCTCAGTAAGTTATGAATTGAAATGGTTCAGGGTATGAAAAGCTCTCTATTGGCTAATGCAAAGCACAAATGCTCTTCTTTGGTATTAGTTTCTTTTTTAGTATTGAAGAGGACATAGAGGGCTATTTGAGGGAAGGGGGTCACATCAATGTGCAGGCAGGTCTCAGAAAGATCAGGTTTTTGAATTCTCTGTCATAAAGGCCAAAACAAAACCTCCGCAACAAGGGTGTGTGTGCATGCTTAGGGATTGCTTTGAACTGCACATCTATTTGTTTTAATGACCTATAGTGACCCTAGGTGTAATGCATGTGATTCAGATTGGACACATGTGTCCTTGGCTCAATGATTTAAGATGCACATACTTGGGTGTATCGGGGTTAAATATACTTCTGTAAAAACATTTCAGAGAATTTTGTGTGCTCTTTTGTGAGCGATCGGTCTGTCAGAAAGCAGCAGCTTATATGGACCAGGTGCTGCCATGTGCGGAGGAGCTGCTGAGACTTTGATAAGCTGTCAGGGTCGAATATTTTTTCTTATTTATTAAGTTCTTTACAACAATAGGTTGAAGAGGCAGCTTGACTTGATTGACATGGCCGCTTAAAGCCTGTTGCCAGGTTAAAGTTGGACTTGCCGAGTCGGACACTTGTGCACACATGTGCTCTACTCTTCTGAAAGTCGTGAAAGGCACTTTCTGTGCACACGGTAGTGCACATTTCCATCTGCGACTTGAAATAGAGATGCCACTATTCAGCTCACACAAAAGAGTCACGTGACAGTGGTAATCAAGGCTGGATGTTGGGTGTTGAGAAGGTAGTTTTTTCCAGGCATGTACACATACTGTAAGCATGTTTATTGCATTTGGCTGGCATTCATGGTGACAGATGTTTTATTTTAAAACCCGCAGTTTCTTAATATGAATATTTATATGAATATGAATATTTGGTTTGGTTTAATAAATGCTTGTTGAATATAATCAGCATGAAGATACGCAGGCTTTGTTTCTTGCATTTTTCTCCTTCCAACTCTTAATCAAACTTTGCTTTGATTTGTTCCAGTCGTGCCTTTCATTTACAGATGGCCTTGACTATTGCCCATTTCACGTTGTTCTAATATGGCGGTGTGCCTCTATTGTCTATTCATACTCACACTTTGAAAAGTACATTAGCAGGAATTGTATTCTTCGCTCTCGCTCCGTTCTCTCTCTGTGTGGCTGAGAAATTGGTCTCTTAAGGGCATATGAGTCCTTGAAGTCACATGTTTGCCTGACCATTAATTTTGATCAAATTGAGAGAGAGCCATTAGTCATGCCTCCTTGGGAGCACATGATGAGAATCTTTGGCTTCTTTTTGTTATGTAGGAGTCTCATTTGCCTGGCAACAATTGAATGTGAGACTAATCCATGAATATTTCAGCTGTTAATGGGTTTCTTCCATTTGAAATAAATGCTCCCGCTTACCAGCACCCTCCCGCAGGTCTCCAGTCCCCTGCTGGCAGCGGTTTAGAAACACATCAGCCGGTGACGACGGCTAATAAGCCCTGCCGTGTCTCATCAAATATGAATGACTGATATCTGCAATTAAAAAGGACCCGGTTTTGATGTCCACATGACAAACCGGGGAGATTGAAGGTGCTTCATTTTTTCCCTGTGTCAGAAATGTCCTTTAGACTCATTTTAGTGGGAGATTGCATGACAGATTTGATGGAAACAGATGGATACTAGTGTGTGGAGATGTCGGCTAATCCAAAGTGAGTGCAACCATATGTCTGCCTTTGCCTTTCTTTGAAAAAGCAGACCTAGACTGTTACTGAATTTAGCTGCATGTCGAGCAGAGCTGCGCTCTGAATGTTTTGTTGCAAAATTCACAGGGTGATTGATCTATTTTGAACTTGATATTTTCCCATGTTAACTGAGCTCCTGGCTCTGACTAATGTTACTGGACTTTAAATAAATTTTTTAGGTTGAAAACTATTTTTTTTTGTCAGTGAGCTAATTGAGTGTGCCTAGTTTTCTGGAAATACAGAAGAATTCATCAGATGTTTATGAATCAGTGCACACATGCTAGAATATCTGTGGTAGATGTATGTATGCCACATGCTCTAAAATGATCAAACCCATTCGAATTTGGATCAATGCTGGAGGAAATTTAATTTTAGGTCACATTTTGCTGCATAATATTGCAAACTTACAATTTAGGACAGAGTATCTCTCTTACAAGCCGACTCCACAGCATATAAGAAAAAAAATAAATGTAGCTCTATTTATACAGCCCACCGTACATTCCACAGTTCACAGACAAAACCATATGCAGTGTTTGTCAGTGTAGATTGTCACCTAAAAGATAAACCACAGTGTCATTTATAAACATTTCAACAGTATTGGAATAAATTATAATGTGGCTTTATTGTGCAAAACATTTACAGACTGAAAATTATAACCTGTTGTTCACTACATGTTCACATTACCAGAAATCACAAAACTTGCTCACAAATGTAATGATCATTGCACTCAGCCTTTAGATTCCACAGTACTCTGCCATTCAGATTCATTATCATTATCACAGTCATCATCTACAGTACAAACTGTTGCTCTTCCTGCACAAACATCTGTAAACAGAAGACGACTATGAACACAAACCAAACAAAACCCCACAGCACAGTACACAACATCTCTCTCATTTCTCAAGGCTGTCCGTCGGAGTGTGTCACATAAAAGCAGTTAGCGTAGAGTATTCCAGAACAGGTTTTCGGTTGAGGACGCTGGTGTTTGTTGACGCAGGATGGTTTTACAGCAGGTCATGTGGTGGCAGTTCTGCTCGATTATAGTTGTTACAGACGATGGCTCGGTCATGGTTTAATCATCATGTGATTACTGGGTTTATTCATCTGCATTTGAATTGCAAACAGGGTTTAACTATGCCAGAGAAAATAGTGGGTGCCTGACCTGCTTTTTCTCATCTATCTTTTTCGTTTTAATTAGTGCACTTCTTTGTTCAACTTGAAGAGGCCTAAATTGATTTTAGTACATCAGTGGCGGACTGGCACAAGCAGTCAAATGTAGATCAGAGCACATGGATGGGAGATATTAGTGAAACAATAATCAGTTATGTATATTCATGAAACTGCAATAGCCAAAAAACTATTTGGACACTTAAGTCATGCATTACAAAACAGAATAGCAAATTGTGTGGCGATTATTTTAAAGGATGATAGCTCAAGCACACTTTTCATAATAACAGTTCATGAAAAACTAGTTTTATATTATAGATATACCATATGACGTAGACGTACATGTCATGCAAAAGAAAAAAATAGATTTTCAGAGTCTGACCTGTCATGCCTACAAACGAGGGAACAAAAATTTAGTACAATGTGGCATTAATACAATTTACCTAAAACTAGGGAAGAACTTAAGTTGTTTGCATCTTGTATTTTCCATCTGCAATTTTTTCAGTATTTTTAGCTTCAGTTTAAACAGTGTTATGCCAAACATAATACTGTTTAAACTGAAGCTAAAAATATTGTGTGAAACTGGTTTTCAAATGGTAGCATGTTCATAATCGATATGATGAACTAGCCTGTGGTTGAACTTGAATTCACCACTGAATTTCATACATTATGTCCACTAAAAGCCAATTGCAAACTGCATTGTTTGCACCCTTGAAGAAAACCACAGGAAAGGGGCGACAGAAATTGAGCAAATTAATCTCTTGAGGAATGGATGAATGACACATTTCGTCTTTTATGGTCTAGCCGTCCTGAGTTTTACCCTGGAATCGAACCACTGTGAAATATTCCTTTCACATTTATACACATTGTATGTTTGTTTTCTCCCACAGTCTTAACAGCTGAATTTTCTTAAGTATGAATTTAGCTTTTATGTTGTTGTCATGGAAACAAAATAAAGTGGCAGTTACGTGTGGCTGCTCAAATGGCCACATATGAGACCGTAATGCCCTGCACCCTTAAGAGCATTTGCTTCAAATCGTCTGCCCTTCGGAGTGTGTCGAGCAGTGAATGCTCACTTCTGAATGATATCAGCCCTAAGTATCGCCTTGAGAGCAGATGAGAAGCTTTTATAACTAATGCAATGAAATTCATGCATTTTTAATTGCGACTTAAGTGTCTAAATACATTTGGGGCTGCCATACATGCTGTTGTTTCTGAGATTGGCAGATGCAAGAAAAAAGTACCTTTGCTTGATGTTTGCTATATTTGCATGGTGTTTGCAGACACTAAATTATCAAGTTGCACGGTATTTCAAAACAGATGTGGAAATGGAGCCGGCAGAGTTAGAGCGGAGAGAAATTGTGCCACAGACGTGATTTAAAAAGCCTCTGAGGCATATGATTAAGAGTCTTATTATTATTTTACTGTTATATTGTCCCAAAATATCTCCCTCTACTCCCTCAGAGTCCTTTAAAAAGATGACAACTGTTTTTGTGCACTGGCAAATCTTCTCAGTGTTATGGCACTTTACAAATTTCGGTGCAGAATAATGTTGGTACTCCGTCAGCTAATGAAAAATCTTAATCGAAAAGCATAAATTGAATGCTGCAGTGTCATAGAATGCAGCGTTTGGGCCATGTGCAATACTGGATGCATTTCGAAATGATCAAAATCAACAGGCGCCGGGGTGAGCGTTGGGTTTAAGAGACCTTGAGGCGCTGAAAAGGCTTCTTTCTCTGCTGTTGTGCGCTGATGAAGAGACTGTGGGGATTGAAGCTCTGCCCGCAGGTGGGTGTGTGTGAGTGAGTGGAGGTAGAGAGGCTGTGTCCTGCTGAGGGCCGGGGATGTTATTGCTCTCGTCTCTGAGGAAGTCAAACTGGTGGGATCTTGTGAGGAGGTGGAAGGCCGACCCCCGTAACCTTGCTATCATCTCAGCATCGGATCTGCTGCCCACCATCGGTTTGAGCAACTCGTGCCACCCCCAAACACAGTCCTACTCCATTCAGAGCCAGCATTAATGCATCTCGGGCTGATTTAAATATGAATCCTGTGAGGAAGTACTTATGTAACGTTACCGGCCTTGTAAGATGCACGAGTCACGTGACGTTCGGGGAGGGACGGTGCAGAGGAGATGCGAACCCCGAGGTCTCGGTTCGCCCTGATCCCTCTTCATAGCCTCCGGGTAATTGCGAGGAAAATGGATGCTTTGTTGAAGTTGTGAAACACAAGTGGGCGTTTTTATGTAGTTACTCCAACAAGTGCTCTAACACTCATCTGGCAATAATTGCCAATAATTGTGCGCATTAGTGCTGCTCTGATGGATTTTGTGAGTGAAATATTTCTGCCCTTTTAAAAGGCCTCTGGGACAAAAACCACAAGGTATTACAGGCACCGCTGTACAGTTAATACAATCAATAGAAGCAAGCTAAACCATTAGGCTGACTTCACAGTGCGCCATCAAATGAGAGCGGTACAACACAATGTCATTCTGCAGGAGGGAGGCTCATCGGGGTTTGATTAAAATCATCACTCGTGGCAGGTTGACCACGTCGTTTTTCATACAAGAGTCAAACACTTCAGAATAGTGCCATAAAAACCAACTGGTTGAATCACAATATTTCAATTGTCACCTTAAAAGAGGGGTTTCGTGCCAACGCTTTATTAGAGAGTGCTTGCTGTTTGAAGTATGTTAATGTTTTAGTACAATGCGAAGCCATTAGTTGTGCTCGCAAAATTCAGATATTTTTAATGAGGTTTGCTTATCCTTTGTGTGAGTGTGTAATGCATGACACATAGTGTATGTTAAAGGCTGTGCAATGTTAAAGGAATAGTTCGCCTAAAAATTTTTATTTACTGGAAATTTACTCGCCCTCAAGTCATCCAAAATGTACTGTAGATGAGTTTGTTTCTTCATCAGAACAGATTTGGAGAAATGTAGCATTACATCACTTGCTCACCAATGGACTCTCTGCAGTGAATGGGTGCCGTCAGAATGAGAGTTCAAGCAGCTGATAAAAACATCACAATAATCCACACCACTCCAGTCCATCAGTTAATGCCTTGTCCAGAGAAATGCTGCATGTTTGTAAGAAACAAATCCATCAGTAAGGCATTTTAACTCTGAACTGTTGCTTCTGGACAAAATATGAGTCCATTCCTCCAGTGAAAAAGTCCATCCTGTGTTGTCCTCACATCAAAATCTACCAACATGTTTGTTAACAACTGTTTTGGACTGTTTTCAGTTGTAAAAGGAGCTTGATCTCTGCATATTTCTCTCCTGATTCAGACAAGATGACTTTTTAACTGCAGCAATATTATGTATAGATTACTCATATTTTAGCCGCAAGCAATGTTGAATTTAAAAACATCTTAATGATGGATTTGTTTCAACACAGCTTTTCACTTCAAAATATTAACTGATGGACTGGAGTGGTGTGGATTATTGTGATGTTTTTATCAGCTGCTTGAACTCTCATTCTGACGGCACCCATTCACTGCAGAGAGTCCATTGGTGAGCAAGTGATGTAATGCTACATTTCTCCAAATCTGTTCTGATGAAGAAACAAACTCATCTACATATTGGATGACATTTTCAGCTAATTTACATTTTTTGGGTGAACTATTCCTTTAAAAAGGGAATAATTAATTGAGAAATAAATATGAAAACTCACCAGGTGTGTTCATGATGACAAATACATTTTTTGGATGAACTGTCCTTTCTCTGAAATAGATCAAGTAGAATGTCTTTTGTTTTTAAGACAAGCTGGCTCTTGAAGGCACGGTTGTGCAGCGCGCTGAGTGCAGACCTGCAGTCGGCGAGAGCTACATGAAACTAAAAAAGTAAGTCAAAGTTTGATCACAATACTTCAGACTTATCAAATGCATCTAGAGATGTGTGTTTTATTTACAGGCTACAGATTGAAGAATCCACCAAACCTCTTTGTTTTTCCCAGAAGCTTGAAAAAGCCATCACAACAAATTACAAACCTGTGTCCAACCACAGCCATAATGTAAGTGTGTGTGTGTGACATAATAATGTGAGCGAACAAATAAATGCTCTGGTTTTCTTATGCTTCTCTTCAGCTAGAATATGAGAAGAGGAAGAAAGAGGAAGGCAAGCGTGCAAGAGCTGACAAGCAGAAGGTTCTGGAAATGCTCTTCTCTGCCTTTGAGAGGCACCAGTACTACAACATCAGAGACCTGGTGGACATCACAAAGAACCGGTGGCTAGTTGTCCAGCTCAAGGCAGTGGAAAGTGAAAACTCTGAGCCATTATATAAACGAGAGCTTGTGCCTCCCCTCGTGAAAAAAAGTACACTTTAGTATACTTTTAAAAAGAGTAGTTATTATGGAAATGATATACTTTAAAATATTATACTTAAGTGAGAACTGAATGTTATGTTTGCAGATGTTATTTGCAATTAAATGAAAGCGTAATATAGTTTAAGTTTATATGAAATGCAATTAGCTAAACTTCAAAGTGCTTTTTGACCCACTTTAAGTAGGACTCAAGCACATGTAATTTCAAAATTACTGCCATTGTCTTTGAAATAAAGTGCACTGCCATGCGTTTATGGTAAACTAAAATATACTTTAATGTAATTTCTTTTGAAACTTTAATGTCTTGTATTTAAATTATTTGTAATTACACATTTGAATGATGAGGTACAAATTCAGATTTGAGGTTCATAGTACAAGTGGACTTTCAATAGAATTAAGTTCACAAGAGTTCATCCAAACTTTTGTTCAGAAATGTTTGTTCTGCTAACAGCAATTCTGAATCAATCTTCTCAGCTTTTATCAGAAATCATACACGAGAAAGATTCAACCAAGTAACAAGAAATTGCAAATACAGTATTCTGCATGGGCTTGGTGTTGATTATATTATCATAGTTAAGTGAGCTCTTGATGATTCTATGAGTAATTGCCACTTGACTGCTGCCTCTGTCTCCCTGAAGGATTGGAGAAATATAAATGTGACTGGAGTTACATGAGTCACAACTGAAAAGAAACGAATCAGAACTGAGTAAGATAATTGTTACTTCCCACAGTGGTCTTGCCATTTAGAGGATTGATTACACTAGCGAGGCTAAATTTAGCACTTTTCACAAAGTTTTTAGGGAGACGTGGTTAAAAGTTGGATGTATGATTACATTTTGTCACCCTGTCTATCTGCTCGTCCTCTAGATTTAGGTTCTTAGGGAGATCGGCGTGTACAATTCCCGAGGGCCTCATAAGAGCACCTGGGAGCTGAAGCCTGAATATCGCCACTATGAGGAAGGACAGGAGGGAAAAATGAAGTAATCCGGTTTACATAAGCCTGGGTTGGTTTTACTTTCATGTAGCTGTTGTTTGTTTCGGTGCCAGATTTGTTTTGGTCTCTTGTTCATAGACCTTGTTCACTCCCAGGTGGAACGGATGTCAGTATAAAAGAAATGAGATCAACTTTTTTTCTTGGGTTACATAACGAAGTGTTTCTCTAACAGCATTATGAAATGAATACTGTAATTTGCATAAGACCCTTACATTCTTCTGAGTTAAGAGCACTTGTGTTTATGGTTACAGAAGCACATTAATAACATTAATGAAAACGCAGACACCCTTTGGACTTTCCATTAGTTTAATAGTTTCATAACTCTTGTCAGTAACAATTTAGAGGCTCTGCAAATAAACACATCTGTCCTGCTGGGCAGGATGTTTTGGTCTCTTGTTCATAGACCTTGTTCACTCCCAGGTGGAACGGATGTCAGTATAAAAGAAATGAGATCAACTTTTTTTCTTGGGTTACATAACGAAGTGTTTCTCTAACAGCATTATGAAATGAATACTGTAATTTGCATAAGACCCTTACATTCTTCTGAGTTAAGAGCACTTGTGTTTATGGTTACAGAAGCACATTAATAACATTAATGAAAACGCAGACACCCTTTGGACTTTCCATTAGTTTAATAGTTTCATAACTCTTGTCAGTAACAATTTAGAGGCTCTGCAAATAGACACATCTGTCCTGCCATAATCACAGCCAGGAGTAAATTGCACGAGATCGCATGCAGGTCACACTTCACCACAATTAAAGGAAAACAATATTTGCATTGCAAGATGAAGCCTATTTTTGGATTGTTACATAATCACAATTTCTCCCAAAATTCATTACTGTAATGACTTTTAGTGCTTCTGTATTTAATATTATTATCTACTGTGTTTACTCATTACTGTATTTTGTTATTTAGATTAAATTAGCATGAAGGCAACACAATAAACACCTTCTTAATGTATAAATACTTTATAGTTGGGGGTTGGTTTGGTGATATAAAAATAAGAAACTTCATTTTCTAAAAGCAAAATGTAATTTTTGTTCTGGACAGGTGCCGCCCACCATATCTGCAGATGCTTCCTCCGTTATTATGAAAAGATCTTTTTCACCACCCCCGATAGACAGATTAAAAATGTTACAAATAATAATAATACAAATCTTTATTAAATGCATTTATAATTGGTCAAAAGCATAGAAAAGTTTGAGTTGTTCGATTTTTAGACTTTGAGACTCTTATGCTCACCAATGCTGTATTTATTTAATCAGAAATGTTGTGAAATATTACAATTTAAAGGTTTTCCACTGTAATATATTTAAAAATGTATTCCTGTGATGCAAAGCTGAATTTTCAGCTTCATTGCTCCAGTCTTCAGTGTCGCATGATCTCAGAAATCATTCTAATATGCTGATTTGCTCAAGAAACATTTCTTATCAATGTTGAAAACAGTTGGTCTGCTTAATATTTTTGCAATACAAGATAAAACTGATTTTTTTTTTCAGGAATCCTCAATAGAAAGTTCAGAAAAACGATTTCCTCAAAATGGTAAAATTACGTGTTTATTGTCACTTTTGATGAAATGTCTTGGTGTATGAAAGTATTATTATTATTATTATTATTTTTTAAAGAGAGTGACCCTAAACTTAACAGTAGCATATATTTTTTCAATTTTATAAATTCATTTTCTTACAATCATTAAACAATGAGCTGTAATTACTAAGATGCAGGCAATGTCATTCATATTTTAAATATTTTTTTCATTACATTAAGCAAGCATTAAAGTGCCCCTATTATGGGTAATGAAAGGTTCATATTTTGGTTTTGGGAGTCCCCAACAACAGGTTGACACGCATGCAAGGTCAAAAAACACTTTCATTGTCTTATATGCATTTATTTTTACCTATTTGCTTAAGGACTCCCAAACGATTAATTTTTCCAAACCCCTCCTTTGCTTGACGCTAATCTGCTGTGATTGGTCCGATTGGTCTCATTTTCATTTCATCATGCCTGATAAAGCAGCGTTTGTGAGCGCAGCGCTGCTTTGTGCAGTGTTTCCGGGGAAACCGCTATTTTACTGCTCCGAAAGCGGCACCTAGTGGCAAAGAATGAATTTGCATTTTCATTCCGACCAACGCGAAAAGACCAACAAGTGGGCGGGCAATATGCTAACGTTTCATGTTGAGTCAAAATGAAACGGCTTGGGATTCGTTTTAAAAACGTTTCAATGATTCGGAGTCGACTCTTTCTTTTGAGAGACAATAACTTTATACATGGTGCACTTTCAGATTTAAAACTTCCCAGAATATTTTCATTTACTTAGAGCTGTGTTACACACTGCATGAAAGGTAATTTAAAAAAATCCATAATAGGGGCACTTTAAACAAACTCGACTGCAGTTTGGATACCTTGTTGAATGTTTATTATGAAACAGGGAGAAATATTACAATGGAGAGCATTAGACAATAACATGACACCTAATGTTACGCATACTAAAATGGTACATTTACATTTGTGTTCATCTGGGCTTTCTCTACCCTACCCAGTGTGTGAAAGCCTTGTGTGGTAGGTACTGTAGGTGTGAAATTCTTATTCTATCACCACCTTCATACATTTTTTTTCAGGCTTTTCTGCGCTCCACTGTTATTTTTCATCGGCTCAGGCTGATCCACCACGCCATCTGGATTTATAGTTTTGTCTGTGGAAAAACTGGCAAGAGAAAAGGAGTCAAAAAAAGAGCCCTCAGACCTTAAAGCACACAAACCAGCATAGACAACATGTGCTCAGGTAATACATGCTATTATGTAGTTTCACTGGTCGTGACCTCAGCGATTTGTAGTCATCATTGCACATCTTTACTGCGTTAACGTCTTGACATTCACTTTAGTCCATGTTGCTAAACCATTTGCACTAAAAGTGCATTTAATATAGTTTGAAGTGTCATACCGTACAATCCTCTGTGTTTGTTATTTTCTTGGTGTGCCATTCAAAGTTTCACTTCATCTTGGCTTTAATGCTGCAAACCTAAGAGAAAAACACAGCATTAAGCTCATTCACCATCTTATAAGCCAGCTGGCATAATATCAGTTCTAATGCATATTCACAAGGCAGAAGGGCTCTTGACACAGTGAGCACTCATATGCTAATGCAGTACCTGATGGGCAGGTAACAGCCGCCTCCTGCATGTTAAATGCATTTTCATTTAATGGGCACCTTCCCTCTGCTCTCAGCTGATGCACGGACCCCAGTGACAGTGAGCGGCCCGTATCCTGTGTCCTGCAGCCAGTATAGGCAGAAAGAGGGGAGCGTCAATTAATCACTTCATTACTCCAGTCAATCAATCATTTGTTTCCCATAATCTAGTCTAAAATGAACGTTATAAGGGTCAGCGAAGTAACACTTTCTTTGTCAGGATCAGTTAAGTTAAAGATACATTAATTCATATAAAATGACTTCGATAAACCTATGAGGCTGTTTTCAGGTGACAAAACTATAAAACAAAAAGAATTCCTTTAGACATGATGCATGTCAAGGTCATTAGGTTTATAATTTGTTTCCACTTTTTCTTCCTAATCCTTTAGAAATCATTCTAATATGCCCTTTTTTGTGAAAACCATAATGTGTTTTATTTAAACGTTAAAAAATAATTGAAAATTAATTTAACAAACTGATTAAAAGTGTTGTAATGTCACAATTTTTTTTTTAATAAATGCTGTTTTTTTCCCAACTTTCCATACAAAGAATGCTGAAAAAATGTATCATGATTTACAAGCTGCAAAAACAGTTTTCAAATGGATAATAATCATTACTGATAATGAAGCACCAACAATAATAATAAACAACTATTGTATGCGATGCGTGTATGTGAAGAGTGTATGCTTGTGTATTTTAATTTCTACTTGTTACGTGTTATGCCCACAAACCGGTCTAGAAAAACCCACCGTTGGCCTATTCAACACTTTTTTTCTTTTTTTTTCTCCATAAAATTCATGTTTACCAAATCTATGTGCATATAGATATTTAGTATATCGCATATTAATTACATTTTGGCTTGAGTTGTACTGCATCGGGATACAATATCAGCCTTATATTTGTCCCAAATCAGCTATTTTATCTTACAACTTCAGTGTTAAAAAGCACAACACGTGCATGTAACTTAAATCATCATATAATATACATATGAACAAGTCGTTTATGATATTACACCATAATCTACAAGACATGGTGCAGAGCACGTGTTTAGCAGGCCAACACATAGCCTTGTAACGTTACAGCACGGACCACCAAACCTGCTAACATGCTGCAGAACAACTAAAAAACTGCACATTTAAGACCCTTGTTAAAGTTCAGATTACCTGATATGCCGTCCTGGTAAATCATTGTAATTTGGCCATTGATATAATAAGAGCTGAGTCTCTTCTGCTTCTTCCTGGAGAAAGGGGGCAAATTCTCGCTCCTGTGGTTTAAGAGGCAGGAAATGCATCAGTCGCTTCTCTCTGCCCATCGACCGGACATGTGCGTCCACTACAGGACAAGAAACTGACCAAATCACACTGTTTGGACTAAAGATATGACAACAACAACAACCAAATAAATGAGCAGTAATTTAAAGTTGCTGTAAGCGAATTCAGCTGTTATGTACTTATTTAGATGTGTGAGATCTAAGTATTAAAAATGTCTAGGTGGTTCAAGACAAACTGTGAATACTGGCTTGCCAAAACTTTGCAAGTTACAATCAGTGTTGGGCTTGTTACTCCAAAAATGTAATTTATTACTCCTTACTAGTTACTCATTTCACAAGTAATATTATTACTTTACTTATTACTATCTGGCAACAGTAATTAGTTACATTACTTTTACTTCACGCCCCACAGAAGTTGTAATTGTGTATCTTCCCTATAAAATTATTCTAAAGTGTTTATTTCTGCCTCATAATTTGACCAAAATCTACATTGGATCACAGTCAGAAGTTATTACAAACACTCAATGGTGACT